CTTGGATATGTAGATTCACGTCCTTCAACAGATTTGGGAAGTTTGGGCCATTATTTCCTCAAATACTTCTTCTGCAGTTCTCTCTCTGCTCCTTCTAGGACTCCTCTGATGCATAGGCTGGTACACTTGATGATGTGCATAGGGCCCTCAGACTCTGTTCGTTTTTCTTTCTGCTCCTCAGACTGCATTATTTCAATTGTCTTAATCTTCGATTCTCTGATCCTTTTCTTCTGCTCGCTCAAATTTGCTGTTGAACCCTTCTAGTGAACGTTTCATGTGTTTATCTTTCAGCTCCAGAATATGATTCATTTTTATAATTTCTCTTTTTAAATATTTTTAATTTTGTTCATATGTCATTTTCCTGATTTCCATTAGTTCGTTGTCCAAGGCTTCTTTAGCTCACTGAGCACATTAAATCAGTTGATTCAATGATTTTGTCTAATAATTCCAATGTCTTGGCTTTCCAGGGAATAGTTTCTGTCAAATTATTTTTCCCTGTGACTGGGCCCTGCTTTCCTGTTTGCTTGTGAGTTTTAACTTTTTGTTGAGAAACGGACATTCTGGGTATTTAACATGTTAATTCTGGAAATCTAATTCTCATAGTTCTCAGGGATTGAGGATTTTTGCTTGTTGAGGGTGGAACCATCTGCTTGTGACTTTTCCAGACTATTTTTACAAAGTCTGCATTCTTCTTGTGGTGTGGTCCCTGAAGTTTCTGTTCCATTATCTCTGCAGTCCAGCAGTGACCTGAGAACAATTTATTTCAATGTCTGTCTCCAACAAGGAGAACAAACGGTCCTGGCTCTTTAACTCTTCTGATAAATGACACCAGCGTAAGCCATTGCTACCGAGAGCCAAACCAAGGCAAGCATCTGTGCCAGTTCCTCAGGCATCACTAGACCAGTCCAAATGCACAAATCTAAATATTTCAAGGACAAGGTCACCACTGCCCAGCCTGGCACCTGCCAGCTGCTCCACGAATGCAGGCTGCTGTCCCCACGGCCAAGATGGTGCTGAGGAACAGGGAGTGGTAGCTGGTTCACGTATGGCACTCACTTACAAAAGATCAGAAGCCTCTTCCTTCTTGAAGTGCTCCTCTGGTTGCTTTAAGTGTCCAAACGTGTTCCAGAGTTCCAAAATAGTTGATTCCAGTTGCTTTTTCCAGCTTAGTGGTTGATTCGGTGGAGTGGCTGACCCCAGATCTGTATAGTTTGCCGTTTTGCATGCTGTCACTCCTGCTCCATGTATTTCTAAGTAATGTCATTAGGTGCATACATATTTTGGATTGTTAATATCTTCTTGATTAATTGACTTTGATCATTATAGAATGTTCTTCTTTTTCCTCTGGTAATATGCATTGTCTTAAAGTTCACTCTGTCTGATATTAACATAGCCACACCAGTTTTCTTATTATTAAATGTTTGTGTGGTATGTTTCTTAATTTCAACCTATTTCTATTTAATGCACATCTCTTGTAAACTGCTTTTTAAAATACAATCTGAAAATCTCAGCCTTTTATTTAGAGTGTTTAAAATCAGTAATATATAATGCAAATATCAAAACTTTTTTCCATTTAAATTCTACTATTTAGCCATTTGTTTACTATTTATCTTCTCTGTACTTGTTCCTTTGTTCCTCCTTTCCTGCCTCTACAGGGTTGATCAAGTTTTATGGGTTTTTTTTTTAATTAAAAAATTTTAACCATTCCATTCTATCTTTTAATTTTTTTATTTTGGGCTATAATTAATTTTTTTAAATGGTTGTTCCAATATGTATGTAAACAATATGCTTCCTCAGCTTATCAGTTTATTTTGCAGTACTATCATACCAATTCACATATAATGTAAGAACCTTATAACTCCCTTGCTTTGTGCAACTGTCATATATTTTACTTCTACATATTATAAACTCCACAATATAGAGCTATCATTTTTGCTTTAAGTAATCAAAAGTTTCTTAGAGAAAAAAACAGTATATTTACTTACATATTTACTATTTCCAGTGCTCTTTGTTCCTTTCTGTAGATCTGAATTTCTCCCTGGCATCATTTCCCTTTCAGCCTGGAGAACTTTTACCATTTTTTACAGTCCAGGTCTATTGGCAATGAATTCTTTCAGCATTGTTACTCTGAAATGATTTTATTTCATCTTCATTTTTGAAGACTATCTCCCTTGCATACAGAATGTTAAGACAGCTTTTCCATCTTTCAGCACTTTAAAATGGTATTCCACTGTCATCTGTTCCCTTTCTTCCTGATGAAAAGTCAGCTATTATTCTTATTGTTCCTGTGTATCACGTGTCTTTTTTTGTTTTCCTGGCTACTTTTTAAAAGATTTTATCTTTGGTTTTCACCATTTGACTATGATGTGCCAAGGTGTGGCCTTCTTTATATTTATCCTCCCTTTTGGGGGTAGGGTGACACATGGTGAGGTCAGACACAGGTTGAGAGAGAGAAACCGAATTCAACAGTTCAAGTTTTACAGTTTTGTTATACTCATACGTCACCTGACCACTCAGGGGAAGCACTAGAGTTGGTCACAAGGAAGAAGGTGATGTAGGAACTGTGGGCAAAAGCCTTTATTGTGGTTTGGCCAGGAATGAATGAGTTAGGCAGGGTAATAAGGCTTAAAACTAGTAAGAGTAGTTAATTTGAATATTTTCAGTGGGTTCTTGGGCACAGGATCCATCCCTGGTGTCTGCTATCTGGGCTCAGGTGATTAGGGTGGTTGCATAGTGCCCAGAATGCTAGAGTCCTAGAAGGGTGGTTCAAGGTGTAAGCTTAACGGGCTGCTCAAGATAACTGACTGGTCTCTAGAGCCAGGGCCTCAAAACCGGATCCAGACAGCATTTTTTAGAAACTATATTACAGGGAGTCTCTGAGCTCCTTGAATCCATGAGTTGATATTTTAATCACACTTTGAAAATTTTTGGCCAACATTTCTCCAAATATGTTTTTTTCTCCAAGTACTTTCTCCTCTTCTTCTACAACTCCACTTAACATATTTGATATACTGCCTGATACTGCCTCACAGGTTATTGCATCTCTGTTCATTTATTTTTTAATCTTTCCCTCTTTGCTCTTCAATTTGGGTAATTTCTATTAACCTGCCTTCAAGTTCACTGATCCTTTCTCCTGCAGTGTTTGATCTTCTTTTGAGCCCATACATTAGTTTTTAAAAATGTCATCTCTCTCCTAAAATTCCCCTCTTCATCCTTTGTATCTATCCTTTTCTATAGATTCTTTAACATATTTATCATGATTTTTAAATTTTTATTCAATAATTTCAACATCTTGGTTGTCTGTGGTTGTTTCTCTCTTTTTTTTTTTTCTTGGTTATGTGTCATATATTTGTTTTTCTTATGTCTCCTGATTTGTGATTGTTTACTGGACATTCTGAACAATATACTGTAGAAACTCTGGATTGTTATTTTTTCCATGAAAACTGTTGAGTTTTGTTTTAGGAGACAGTTAAGTGACTAGCAGATCACTTCAATTTTTTGAAGACTTGATTTTAGGCTTTAGGTAGAGTTGAGTCTATTCTAGTTCTGCTTTAGTCCAAGGCCCAGACCTGCATTCTGAAAAGTGGTTCTAACCCTAAACTATGACCCTCTAGGTTTTGAATGGAAAGTTTTGGTGAGATATAAATCTCAGACTTTCCCCAGCACCAGACATCTGCTCAATCTCTGCTGAGCCTTCCAGCCTCCCAGCTGCTGCTTTCCATCGGGCCTCTTGGAATCCTGCCTGTTCATGCACAATTTAAGAGTCGGCCAAGGACTTGAGAGGAATACGTAAAGCAAATTCAAGGCTCTGTGGTTTCCCCCTTTCTGGAAGTTCCCCCTTCAATTTCCAGCTGCTCAGGCAGTCCCAAACTCTGACTTGCCTCTTCACCCTAGTAAAACTCCACTTTTTGTTTTATTCCCTGTGGGCCACATAAGGAATAGTCACTTAAATGTGGATCTCATCCCATGTGCCTCTCTTCTTTCAGTGGTTGAGTCCCTTCCAGTTTTTGCCTGTCTCTAGTCACTTTCCAGTGCATTTCAACAGTGTGTATAATTATCAGTAGGAGGGTTAGTCTGATGCTCTTGCCATAACTGGAAGCCAGACTGTAATCAAATGCTTCAATGTTACTTAAAATAAAACCCAACTTCCTTTTATGCCTCTGTCTGGGTGATGGTTACACAAGTATGTTCACTTTGAAAATCTATCAAGGTGTATGTTTGTGTACTTGTGTCTACATGTGCTACACATCAATAAAAAGTTCATGACAAGAGAAACCCAATTTCATGTCAGCACCAAGCTTAAAACCCCTCAGGGGCTTTCTTGTGGCCCCAGGATCAAACTCAGACCCTCTCTCTGGAACCTCTCTCCTGGCTATGACTGTGATCACCCAGATTCACTTGCAACTGTCTAAATGAGAGGTCCTGGCTCCTGTCCTCCCTCTGTCCCCACCTCCCTCAGCCGACATGGATAACTCCTACTTGCCCTCAGGCTTCAGTCATCTCCTGTGGAAGCTTTCCCCGACCAACAAATCCCTCTTCTCCTCCACCCTCGGTGCCCTCTGCTGTGTTCTCAGCCACGAGGTCCCCTTCCCCAACCTCCACCTCAGCAAGAGCACTCACTACACTAGCCTGCAGCGTCCAATGAGCACCTGAACAGCAGGAACCATATCTTCAACTTCAAATCTAGCTCAGAGAATTTGCAACACGAACAAAGCACTCACCACCCTTCCTGTTGGGGTTAGCCCTTCTGGGGCAGCTTGCCTGCCAGATCCCGCCTGGGGCAGTTCTCCAAGGTTAGGGACCTAGAAGAGGCATGGGTGCTGTCCTGAGAATCCAGAGAACTGGCTGCATCTGGACCCCGACCCATCACCAGACCAGATGTTCAGGCAAAGCTCTTCTTCCTGTCCAGGCCTGACTGTTCTGTCAGGTGAAGGAGTGGAACTTTGAGCTCTAGCAATCCACCCTTCCTAAACATAAAAGCTGAATGACTGGCCAGACAGTTTAAAGAAGAGAAGAAAAAGTTTATTTGTTGACCAGACCTTGTTTTCATTACAGTACCCAGAAATTCATTCTCAGTTCACTTCAGGTGCAGAGGGCTCTATGGACATTAAGAGCCCCAAAGCTTGTTTCCAAGCGAGAGGCAGCACCTGGACCTAGGCTGCATTGAATGGAGAAGGACTGAAGTAAAACAGAACAGTTATAAAGAAGGTGTTCTTGTTTTTAAGTACATAGTTTCCTTAAAAATTCGAACATTTTCCCGTTATTACCAAGGATAACTGGTTGGAAAACATGGTATTTGATAATCTTTTTCTCAAATTGTTGACCTTAGGTTAATGTATTTTCTTTTATTTTGGAAAGGAATCATGCCCATTTCTCTGGAAATCTAACTGGTGACAAGTAAGGCAATGTATAAGTTACAGTGGGACGAAGGCCTTAGCTCCTGCCCTAACTTGTGTCCTAGCAAATCTTCCACGTTTGGCCTCTGTGTTGCTAGGTAACTGGGAAAGTCTCAGATGGCCTCTTGCTTGCAAAATCATTACCATGGAGTTGAAACTTTATGCACTACTTCTGGGGAGAATGCAGCTTCCTGAAACCGATTTTGCGGTTTGTTTTTATAAATTATCAGTACTCAGTGAGACCCTAAGGGGGAGAGAGCCTCTACTCAGTGCACTGACTCAATGCCACTCAGAAGTGTCGTTTCTGTATTAAATTGAGAAATCAAAGACCAAATAATGAAAGAGAAATTGAAATCCTCCAGATACTTTGAAATATCAGTAAGGACCCGAGTTAATGAAGTCTACTTTGCTTGAATTCAATCAGGTAATTACCAAAGTCCTGATTAAGATCTTTCCTCACTACATCAAGGCAGGGAAAACATGAGCTTAAATAAAAAATGTTATCCCACCCAACTAGACACATGACAGCTATATTTAAGTTGATTTACCATCCCACAAAAGTGTCCCCATAAAATCAAATACTTAAAAAACCTAATTATTAAAATTACACAATGGAATATATATTAAATAATTTTGCACACAATGCACCCTCCATTTGTTGTTACCAAGACAAAGTTTCCATTAGGTGGCTTTACCAAAACATTTCCATTTCCATGAAATTTGATACCATAGTAATAACATTTTATTCAGAAAATGTAGTAGATATTTCCTGTAACTCTTAAGTTGAATTATTTCTTTTAATCATTCATGGCAATTTTAGGAAAGGACTGCTTTCAAGTACCCAAATTGACTCACACAGGAGATGTGGGGGAAGCGGAATCATTTACACTCACTGCTATGAGGGTGGTGTCTGACCTCTTCCAATTATGGTGCCAGTAAAGGATAATTCCCAGCAAAAGGAAACTGGGATTCCTTTGCTCCCTATCCCCTGGGCCAGTCCCTCTCTTCTGAAAACTGCACTGCCACCTCTAGCTTTCAGCCCTTCACTCAGGGACTCTCGGTCCTGCAACCAGATAAAAGTTGTTCATTCACGCAGTTCATAATATGAGGACTTAAGGACAGCAGAGTAAATTAAGCTCCATTCTTGGAAACTATTTCTTAATAGATGTACAATCTTTGCTCTTCCAACAGCTGAGCTCACCCCACACGTGGGCCCTCCAGGATGCACATGCACTTGGCAGGCAGCGAACATCTGCATGTTTCCATTGGAAATGCAGCGTCTGACAGTCGGCACATCCTTCTCAGTGCGGCGAGTATTGAGGACAATTTTAAAACAAAACACAGGCATGCTCCACACGCCCAGCAGCAGGCTCTGTGCTTGGGTTTTGAGCTCAATCAAATACCACTGTTCACAGAACACAACAACTTACACTGTGGCGTGTCATTCTGACATGTCACATTATTTCATATCACTCTGGCACTGATTCAGAAAGAAAATTTTCCAGTAGGGCATATTGAGAGAGAAAAATCCATTACACAGTTAAAAACAACTCACTGTGAAGTTTCCAGAAGCTTGAACATTTCATGCAACTAATTCTTATTCCTTGGAAAAAACTCTCTCCTACCTATCTTTTCAGTCACAATCTGCTCTCACACAGTGGAGGCAAAAGACAGTGCTAACCAAGACCAGATTTTTGTGGAAACAGCATTCCCTCGGGCACCAGAGGCTCACGGTGAAAGGTGCTTGCGTCTCATGAACCACAGTCACTGGCAGGAGAGGCGGGCTCTAGGCCACTTCAGGAGCAAGCTGGGCCTTGCATATTTAGATTCAATATTAATAAGACTGATGTTTAGGGTGGGACGAACAAGGGGAAATGAGGATAAACACTACACAGAGAAGAGGTTTCACACTGCACTTTCTCATACGGAATATGCCTAAGAGACCTGATGGAAAGACACAGAGGAAGTGGCTTGTTCCATGTCCCAAGGAACCAGCATTTTAAAAGCATATCCCATGACTTTAGTATTTCCTGCTCAACCTCTCAGAGAATAAACTAGAAAAATGCACCACTCTGCCTGCAGCTGCAGACAGCAAACACGGGTCTCTCAGCAGGCTCCGTGAACCCTCAGAGGAAGCCGAACCACTCTTTTTACTGCCACTGATCCACCCCTGCCGCTGCTCTGAGCAGGGGACTCCTGCTACAGCCTTTGTCAACAGCAATGACTCGGAGGGATCTTCCAGTCTTGGATCAATTTTCTAAAAATCTTTTGGGCTGCCCCCTTCCCCAATTTTTAACGGAATTATAAAAACAAACTCAAAAGCTCCTTCCGAATGCCTGAGAGACTCCTGAGCAAATCTGTGCAGGTGGATACAGCAAAAATAAATTACTTGATGTTTGTTAAGACTTTGATTTTTAAGAGACTGCAAGTCAATACGTGACCTGGCTGAGAAGAGTCAGGACTTAGCTCTCCATTTGCGCCCCCTCCTCCTATTTTTAAAAAGCAGGCAAAACATGAGAGACAAAAGCTGCTTGCAGTGGGGGGGACGGACCTGGAGCGGCACCCCCACGAGGCCAGCAGCACTCTGGAAGCCTCCTGTGGGGGGCCTCCCAGCACGGCCCACTCACCAGCAAAGGTTGCTCTGGAAGGGCCATGCTGGGCTGCCGAAGGAAAGACACAAAAAGCAACGCTGCTTCCAGATCAACTATGTGGAGTCAGAATGGGCAGAGTGCTGGCAGTTTCTGCAACCCACAGCCTTAAACTAAAAGCAATACGCAAGGGTGTACAGAAAAACAGGACTCACACAGCCAAATCTCTCCTGGTCTCAGACCTGGGGGCCTTTTGCGGAGAAAAGTCAAAGCCAACTGCCCTGGTCTGAGGGAGAAACATCCTCCAGAGGAGAGGGGGAGGACGTGTGCCTGTCCTGAGGGAGCCCAGAGCCCCAGCACGGCTCCCAGAGACTCGCTATGGCTGTATCCAGTAAGGAAGTCAGTAAGAGACAGTATCTTTAGAAAGCGGGAAGAAAAAGCAAAGACTTTCACAAATACAAAAATTGTTTATAAAACAATTAGCTAAAAAGTTCACCGGGGTTGGTGGAGAATAAGAATAACGTTTTCATTTCAAATTAGTCACAATGGTACTGATGGTTTATAAAAGAGAACAGCCAATTTCTGGTCTTCCTCACCTCCCCACAACCCCCGGAGCCTGCTTCTCCTGATATTTTCCCTACCCTCACCCCCACCCACCCCCAGCCTGTCCCAAAATTAATTTGCCCTGTGCCAACCCTGAAGACACATGATTGCTGGTTGGGTTTCAATTCAATAATGACCCTGATGTCGGGGAAGAGAAGGCCGGAAGGGCACAGGAGCACACTGGCATAAACCTCGAGCCGTGTGGACCTCGGACAAAACTTCTGCCGATGCGGCTCCGGACGGGACCTGCCCCACAGCGCAGGCTGCAGACTGGGCTCCACTGCAGGGAAACTGAGGTAAGGAAGGACACGGCGGCCCTGGCTGGTTGGCTTCCCGTGACAGTGCGGCACACTTGTGCTCTTGGTGGCACACCCCAGCACTTGTTTCCGTCCAATTCCCTTCACCATTCTCCCCTCTGGTTAGAAGACTGCCCCCCACAGAGTTCCAAAGCATCAGCCCTTGTCTTCCTCTGAGGGACAAATCCAAGAGAGCCTTGACTCCAAAGATCCAGAGCCCACCGACGTGCAGAAGTCAAAATCAACGCTCAGAATCAAAAGGCGTGGCACACCTGCCCGGCCAGTTCATCAGCAGTTGTATAGACAGATCAGAAAAAACTAGCATTTAATATAAAAAGTGTTTTTCAAATGGTGTAATTTCCTATCGTCCTCTGGAGATCATAATTCTTCACGTTTCTGAGGTCCTATAGAAAAGGAGAACAACGAAAAATAAAATGAATTATCCTCCAGTTATACAAATACAGACTGGGCATTTTCTGGTACTGTAATGTATTATTTGTGCACCCACCTCCATTTTCTCTTTTACAATTTTTAAGAGTTTCGGTTTGATATGTTTGTATTATATTTTGAAAGCAAAAACGAAATTTTTATTTTCAAAACCACAAACTACCTGCACATCCCTACTCCATCTGCATCATTTTCACAGGCACAATATTTACTCTAAGGAAAAATGCACACATTTTTAGTCAAGATGCTTCGTTTCTCACTTAATAACATATAAACATTTTCCTATGGAGCAGTGTAGCTCATTTACTATTCTCTAGTTTTGGATGTTTAAGCTGTTTTTAATGCTTTGATTTATAAATAATAGCAAAAGAAATTTCTCTATGTAGATAACTTTTTTGTTGTGTTGAATTAATTCTTTAAGGTAAATTCTCAAGGGAGGAATTATTGAGGGCACAAATATTTTAATGGCTCCCAATGCCTGATTTACTGCTTTTTAACAAGGAATATTCTAATACAAAAGGCTTCAGCAAGGCAGATCCAGAGCAGCCCCTCACCATCTCCCCCACAAATGGCATTAGCAACGTTTATTTTTCCTATGTCGTATGTATTGATGAGAGTCCTTCGAGTTGATTACCGTTTCCTCGAATTCATTTATCATCTGCGTTTTCCTCTTATGGGAACAGTATGTCTACACTCTGCCCATTTATCTATGGAAGTTCTTGAGGATGTGCTCATCAATGTGAATTACTTCTACGGTAAATATCCAGCCTCTAGCTGTGACGTTTCATATCATGGTATAGCCTTCAGGATGTTTAGCTGAGTCACTCAAGATCTATGTTCTGTAACTGCTTTTTTAGAATTGGTTTTGAGCTGAATAAATGGTAAAAGGCAGAGTGCATCTCGTTAATAGTTTACAAAAGGTCATTTTCCTATTCTAATGACCATGTTCAACTGGCCACCTCTCCTTCACAGGACAGGAAAACCATCAGATGAAGACTTTGTATTTAAATCCAAACACTCCACCACACCCCGATGTGCTTGATGGAAAGAGTATGTTTTTCCCAATCAACATGGACTTTGTCTTGACCCTAAATGTGTTCATTCTCTAGTGCCCGGACAGAGTTAACGAAAAACCAAGGAATCTGACAAGAGATCCCCCAAACAATGTCAGGTTTCACTTATGTATCACAAAACTCATGAACCTAAACAATAATAATCACAATTAAAACCAAAAAAAAAAAAACCACCCCTGAAAAAAAGATCAGCAATTGCATTAATAAATACTATCTAGGGGGCTGGCCTGTTGGTGAAGTTTGCATGCTCTTTCAGCAAACCAGCATTCATGGGTTTGGATCCCAGGCACAGACCCACAGCACTCATCAGCCATGCTGTGGCGGCGCCCCATATACAACATAGAGGAAGATGGGCGCAGATGTCAGTTCAGGGACAACCTTCTTCAGTAAAGATCAAATAAATAAATGCTGTTTAGAAGGCCAACTGAAAAAGGAAAGTGAGAAATAAACAGTGGCTCAGGTCAGGATGGAAGGACTGACAAGTGATTCTTCTTTCCCTTTTATGCATTATCCTGTCATTTTGCAACAAACAGAGATGAGGAACGGGAAGAAGAACTGACCGAAAGGCAGGTGTCTGCACTCACCCTCGCGGCTGGGCTCTGGTACCGTCTTCTCCTTATGCAGTGCTCCCGTCTCCTTCTCCTTCTGGAAGCGCATCTGCAGCTGCTTGATCTCCTGGTCGTAGTCCTGCCACTCGGGGACAATTCGAACAGCTGCTTCCAGCTTGGGCTCTTTGGTCATTGGATTATTACACTGTGAAAACCAAAATAACATACTTTAGCTGAGCTGAAGAAAGGGTCCATTATACAGAATTCAAAGGAGTTTCTGCACTTGGGTTACAAGTCCTAACTGGACAAAAAGAACAACACTAAGGAACCAAATGACAGATTAGCAGAAGGAACATGGTTAAAGAAGTTGCAGGGAGCTACTGGAAAGCAGGACAGAGAGTCCACTTGGGAAAGGCACAGAGATGAGCTGGAAGACAAGGAGTGCTGCAGTGGATGAGAACAGCCCCAGCAGACGCTAGACGGTCTGGCTTCCTGCTGTAGCTGAGAAGAGATCTGCTGGAGTTACTGTCAGACGTTCTGCAGGCCCCATGCTGCACGACTGCAGAGAAAGCCCGAATGAGCATCTGTGCACCGATGACCAACCAGTCACACAGCACACTGGACACGAGGCAGGAAAGAACCACAGACGGCTTACCAGGTCAATTGTTTTTGCCCTTTTCTTAGAGGCATCATCACACCATGTTTCACACCAAAGCCATTCTTGAGGGAGTGATTTAATTGGCACTTGATGGATCATGTTATTGGGCAAATCCTGTTTGATAAAGAAAATAAAACACAACAATCAAAAGTTCTGGAGGAAATTTAAATAAACACGAAGCAAATTAGTGATGTTCACTGCATATTACATATCACACGCCAATCTCAAATTCTTAGATCTGAAAAGGTCTTTGCCAAAAGCCTTATTAGAGAAGCTAAAATACATATTTATGGTGTTCTTACAAACCACAAAGTTTAGAGGAACCATAAAACATCTAGGAATAATAGGCACCTGAAAAACTTTAGCTTAAAACTCACAAATAGCTTGCACTTGGACTTCCCTCATGAGGGCAAATCTAAGAAAAATACCTTTTCAAAGCCAAGCTAAGCATAGAGTGTGCTTCTTATACTTCACAGTTTTGCGTAAAGTACGCTCTGAATCCCCCTTGTCCACTGAGGCTTGATCCCAAGTAATGAAGCCCACATGTTTTCTAGCCAACTGCACTCTATGCCTTGAAGTTTTTTTCTCAGGAAAACTTTTGAGTTTCACACAATAAAACGTTCCATTGTCCTAAGACACAAACAACCAGTATGATGTAGCAATTCCACTTCTGGGTATGTACACAAAAGAACTGAGAGAAGGATCTCAAACAGATACTTGCACACCATTGTTCATAGAGGCACTGCTCACAATACTCAAAAGATGGGAATAAGCCAAACGTCCATCAAGAGATGAATGGATAAACAAAATATGGTATATACATACAATGGAATAATGGAATATAATTCAATTTAATAGGAAGGAAATTCTGATACATACTGTAACTTGGATGAACCCTGAAAACATTATGCTAAGTGAAATAAGCCAGACACAAAAGGAAAAATACTGCATGGTTCTAAAAGTAACTAGAATAGGTAAACTCATACAGACAGAAAATAGTATAAAGGTTAACAATGGCTAGGGGAGGAGAGAAGGGGAAGTTATTGTTTAATGGGTAAAGAGTTTCACTTTGAAATGATGAAAAAGTTCTGGAGATAAACAGTTGCACAACATTGTGAATATACTTAATGCCATTGAACTGTACACTTAAAAGTGGTTAAAGTGGTGAATTTTATGTTATGTATATTTTATCACAATAAAAAATAACAATAAAGATAAAATAAAGACACTTTCAGACAACAAAAACTGAAAATTTGTTCCCAGTGATCTCATTAAGGAAAACTAAAGGATATTCTTCAGGCAGAAGGAAACTGATCCTCTATGGAAGCCCAGAAATACAAGAAAGAATGCAGAGTAACTGAAAGGGTAACTATGTCAGAAAATCTAAATCTAAACAGATACCGACTGTATTACACAAGAATAATAACTTCTTCTGGGATTAAAAGAGAGAGAGATCTAAAATACAGGGCAACAAGGCATTTAGGTTGAGGACAAATGCAGTTAACAAGTTCTATGGCAGTGCTACCAGAATGTGGTATGCAGACTTGCAGCAAAGAGGTTATTGGGAACGCAGATTCTTAGGCCCAACTGTATACCTACTAACTCAGGCTGTGGGGATGGGGCCCAGGAACTAATGCTTTAGTAAGTTCTCCCGGTGATTCTTTCATGTATGCCCAAATTTGAGAAGCACTGTTCCGATGTTTTTGCACTGTCTGGTAGGTGGGTAAAATATACTGATTAATAGTAGCCTTCGCAAAGTAAGAAATTCATACTGTAATCTCTGCAATGATCATTAAAAGAACTGTGAAAAAGTATATAGTTTAAGCTAATAGAAAATGGAATTATAAAAAACTCTGAATCTGAAAGAAACTGACTAAGGAGAAAAAAAGAAACAAAGAACACATGGAATAAAAAGAGGAATTCTGTAGAAAAGCTAAGCTCACTAGTGATTACATTAACCACAAATGGACCAATGTTCTAATTAAATGACTGTCACACCAAATGAAAAAACAAACAGATATAATCTATTTATAAGAAACAGAAGTAAAACATAACGACAGAGAAAGAGTGAAATATAGAAGGATACAAGAAATATACCATGTAACAAGTGAAAGGAACACTGGCGTATTTGCACTAAGATAAGATGAAGCACACTTTAAGGCCCAAAAAGAAAGTAAAAAGACATTACCAGATATAGTAAAAGGTTAATTTGTCAGAAATATATAGAACTTCTAAGGTTTTTTTGGCATTTAACGATAACAGTCTGAAAATACATAAAGCAAAACTTGACAAAACCAAAGACAGGAAAGATTTCACAACATGGAAAGAAAGATTTTAAACACAATACTCTAAGTAACTAACAGAAAAAATAGACAAGAAACACATAAGAACACATTGCTAAACTTGACCTAATAGACATACGTAAAAAAATATTATACGTAGCAATTGCCAAATATAAAACCAGGTAAAATGTTTACCAAAACTAATCATATTTGGGTCAAAAAATAAATCTCAACAAACTTCAAATACCTGAAATCGCACAGAATACATTCTCAGACCACAGAACTACTAACCTAGAAATAACAAAAAATGTAACTGGAAAATCCCCATGTATTTGGAATCACTTGGAAATAACTTATGAGTCAACAAAAAAATCACAATGGAAACTAGAAATATATTGAACCAAAGGGTAAGGAAAATGCTACACATAAAACATGTGGAATGTAGACAAAATCTTCCTGAATTTGATAATTTTAAATGCATACGTTAGAAAAGACTAAAAATCATGAACTAAACGCCTATCTCAAGAAATTACAAAAGTATCAACAAATTAAATTTAAAAAGTGAAAGGTAAGAAATAATAAAAAACATAAGTTGGTAAAATAGAAAAGAAACACACATAGACAGTACAAAAAAATGCTAAAAGCTGCTTCTTTGAAAAGACTAATAAAACTGATTAATTCCTGGTGAGCTGAACAATGGGAAAAAGAGAAAGCACAAATACACACTGTCAGGAATTCAAATTAAAGAAGAAGAGAGAGAGAGAAGACCCCACTACAGGTCCTACCATGGACTTTAAAAAGATAACTGGTGTGATGAAAACACTCCAGCTCTGGATATACATTTCTCAATAACATCTAAACATATCACAGTATATAAAGTATATCTTCAAACTGAAAAGAAAATGAAAGGATAACACAACGATAATACGTTAGGAAATATAGATACAAGTGAACAAAACTATTGATAAAAGAAGTTACAGAAAATGTCAACAGTCCCACAACTATTAAAGAAATTGGAGTCATAATTTAAATGCAAAGAAAACATTGTGCGACATCATGAGCGAATTCAACCAAACATTTAAGAAAAGAAAGAAGGTCCATCTTACACAAACCAATTACAGGTAAATGAAAAAGAACAAAACCAAACTCATTTTATTAAGTCAACACAGCCTTGATGTCAAAACCTGACAGACATATTATAAGACAATGTCACACAAAAACATAAATGCAGAATTCTTAAATACTAGCACAAAGAATCCAGGAATACATTAAAAAGGATAATGAATCATGACCAAGTTGGGATATATTACATGGTGCAATTCAGAAATTATATTTAGATATATAATTAAATTTACAGAATAAAAGAGAAAAACCGTACCTCAGCAGACGTAAAAAATGTGTAAAATTTAACACAAAAGATTTTTTTTTAAAGTAGCAAACCAGGAATAAAATGAACTTCTTTAATCTGAATGAGGTATCTACAAAACATCTACAGCAAACATCACACTTAGTGGTGAAATGTTGAAAACCTTCCTTTGAATCAAGAATGTCTACTATCAACATTTCTTTTCAACAATATGGAACGCCTAGCAAGTAGACAAAGCAAGAAACAGATTTAAAAATGTAAAATTGGAAAAGAAGTAAAATCGTTTTTATTTGTAGATGATATGATGATGTATATAGAAAATCCAACAGTGTATATAGATTAGCAAGGTAGCTGAGTGCAACAATGAACAAAATTAATTGCAATGCTAGTGGCTGGGGAAGCGCAGGCGAAAGAAAGCAACCCTCCCCCTGCCCAGTGCTCCAGATCTGCCATCAGTCAGAGCATTGCACAGTGAGAAAAGGAGTCAGCGGGTGGAGTTACGGAGGCCCTGACTGTGCTGGGCCCAGAATACACAGTGCCTGATCCCCACCCAGTGATGGCAGGTGGAAGCTGCAACCAGATAATAACACTATGAGGAGGCAAAAATCCACACCATAAAGCAGTATGAAAAAGCAAATTAAATCTCCAGACCAGAAGGAAAGTGAGAAGTATCCAGAAACCAATCCTGAAAAAAAGAAATTCATAACCTAAATGACAAAGAATTCAAAATGGACATCATAAAGAAACTCAGCGAGTTACTAGAAAACACAGAAAGACAAATCAACAAATTCAGGAGCTTCTTCACAAAAGAGACTGAAACTATAAAGAAAAACCAATCAGAATTGTTGGAGACGAAAAACACAGTGGGCAAGATAAAGAAAATTCTGGATTCCCTAAACAACAGAGCTGACATTATGGAGGCCAGAATTAGCCAGTAATATAGACCTGCTTCCGACAGAGAAGAGAGAACTGAGACTCAAAAGAAATGAAGAAACTCTCAGAGAAATATCTGAATCAATTAGGAAATGCAACATAAGGATTACAGGTATTTCAGAGGGGGGAAGAGAAGGAGAACGGAGCAGAAAGTTTGTTCAAAGAAATAATAGCTGAGAACTTCCCAAACCTGGGTAAAGAGCTGGAAATACAAGTGAATGAGGCCAGCAGTTCTCCTAATTATATCAATGTAAAAGGACCTTCTCCAAAGCATATAGTAGTAAAGGTGGCAAAAGTCAATGACAAAGAAAAAACACTAAGGGCAGCAAGGCAGAAAAAAATAACCTAAGGAACCCCTAATGGGCTTTCAGCAGATTTTTCAGCAGAAACCTTACAGGCTAGGAGAGAGTGGAATGATATATTCAAAATCCTGAAAGACAAAAACTTTCAGCCAAGAATACTCTATCTGGCGAAGATATCCTTCAGATATAACAGAGAAATAAAAACTTTCCCAGATAAACAAAAGCTAAGGG